AAGTCCGGGCTTGTTCCTCGAGCTTCCAAGGCAAAGAAATCCTCCAATTCCACTCCTAGAATGCCCTCAAATCGTCCTCTCTCTCTTTGATTCGTCCCTTGGGTGTTTGCGATCCAATACCCAGCTCTCCCCTTTGCACAAACGCACAAAACAGGCTTTTAACAGCCTGCGTTCGCGATCCCCGGTCATAATCCTCGGTCGGGTATTTCGGGTGCCCGGCCGGGGATTTCGAAACGCAGCGTAGTAGTACAGGGGATAATACCCGATCGAGGTCAAGGATACCCGATCGGGTACTTTTGCTCTCTGGCCGAGACCCCTTTTGCCTTCTGGGCGTCCAAAACTACTTTTCCCCGTCCTCGCCTTGCATTTTACCCGGCCGGGTATTATCTCATGGCCGGGTATTTTGCTCCTCCAGCACCCTTCTACTCCAACGTCCTGAAATAAGACATAAACACACAACCTAGCGTGAAATCGGCTTAAAACACGAGAATCGACTCTCAACCAGCTCAAGAATGGAGGTATAAACATGTGTAATTATTGGTCTATCAAATTCCCCCACACTTAACCGTTTGCTTGTCCCCAAGCAAACCTAACTCAACCCAATGCAGCTCTCTAGACCTCTATAGCAACACACAACCCCGATCGTCGATAGAGGATTTCCTAGATCATATAGCAGCTTACGAGGTCAACTGGTCTTCTAAGACGTCCCCTATCTCTCTCAATGCGAGAACTAGACTCAAGCCAGGATCATGAGAAGAAGTGTAAGTAAGACAACCAGTTCTTGGATAAAGGGACTCACACCATTCACAACCAAGGACTCATTGTACCGGGGTGCTCTTTCACTTCATTTCACCGTTGAACCCCTTTTTCACTTTCATTTTACATTTTTTTTTCATTCACTTGGTGGGGGTTCCAACTGTAGTCCTTTGCACGGTCGACCATTATTAGTTGAGCAAGAGCAATTTCTGTACATGTGGTGCTCGCCAGAGTACTTCTTTTAACTCTTTTTCCTCAACTCTTGTGGAGGGTCAATGAAATCAAGGGGGGTCGGAAGCTCTATCCGTGCCCTTAAAAAATATCCTCGAGTAGGCAAACCATTCAACGGGTGAAAGTTTTACCTGTACTAGAGACAGCTTAGCTTCACCTTGTAGGAGTACCCCACTAAGGATCACTAAAACCTCTTCCAAAACCCAATTTTGAGCAATGAACGGTGCCACACACGTTGGGCTTACCCCATATTTAAGATTTCAATGATTTCGACAAGGAGGACCAACTGCTTTTGATTTCCCACATGAGCAACCTGTTCGATAAACGAGTCTATAACACAATTCAAATGGAGTCACCATTACCACATGAATTCAGCAGTCTTAGTTCCACTAATTCACAAAATCAATCGGCACAGCAGAGAGTTATATAGGAAAAATCTTATACTTCAACAACCTCCATAGTGCTACACTACCTCCCTAGGTTGCACATTACTATAGAGGCTGTCAATTCAAAGCATACTGAGCAGGCAATTTGCAAGGAACACGTACTTGCCCTCAAATCAAAGTTTTGACAGTGGACTAGGCTCCTAGCACACAAACACAGCCAAACATTCACACGCATACATAATCGAACACCCCCCCCCCCACACACTTAAGCACAACATTGTCCTCAATGGAGGAAAGATAAGGAGGGTAGTACGAAGTTACCAGATCAAGGGTGAATGATGGTGGACGGGGCAGGCGATGCATTCCAGGAAGAGAGAGTAGTTGGAACACAAACACCACACAAAATCCCACAAAGGTTGAGTTATTAAATCTAAAATCAAAGAACAAAACTGACTCAACCGAGGAGAAATAGAGAAAGAAATGCAAACCGACTGGTTGGGTTGCCTCCCAACAAACGCTTCTTTCACGTCGTGAGACAGACGATGGCTCCTAAGTTTCGGTCCACCCAAAAACCTCTTTGAAGTTGAGGTTCTCGTCAATGAGGTGGAGTCTCAAGTCACGAACATGTGGTATGACAGGTGATGGAAGCTCGTGAACTTGATGCATATGAAGTCTACACCCTCGAGACCTCTTTTTCTCTTCTCTCGTCTCATTGCCCCAAACCAGATATGCCAACATCGATTGACCACCATCGCGTCCACCAAGAGGGACCAATGTCGATGTGGCCTTGGTCTGGCAAAGAGACAGTGCGAATGGGTCCTTTCTAAGCTATTCCTCGAAGTTTGATGGAGATATCACATGTAACTCATGGTCGGTGCAAGGCTCTTCTGCCTCAACTTCGTCCTCGGCCTGGACGTCCATTTCTTCTTCAACCCCCCTTCCTTCTTCATGTGCTATCACCCCGGGGAAAAGATCAAGAACTCCTTCTACTTCACTTTCGTTGTCCTCCACAACTTTTTTATGCACCCTTTCTTGCTCTTCTTCTTTCAGCACGAATTGGAGGGCAAGTCGCCAAACAATTTCTTTGATGAGATCATCTTGCATCTCCTCACTCATGCCCGCCTCTTCAAAGCTCAGTGTGGGATGTGGGAAGGTGTGGTCCGCTACGATAGGACATTCCTGATCATGATCATCACGAGGGCTCTCTGTGACAACTTCTGTCTGCTCCACAATGTCCTTGTAGCCTTCGTCTTCCTCCTCCTATTCTAGTATAGTAGCAGAAGGGTGATCTTGAGCAGGCTGTGCAGAAGATTTCTCGAGATCATCGAGGCTCTTCCTAATGCTCAGGAGGATCTCCTCTGTTTCACGATAGTCCTGGGTACAAAGATCAATCTTGGAGCATGATCTCTCAGTGTCTCGAGCAAACTGTTCCATGAGAAGCCTCAATTCATAGTTTGGATCTGGCTGTTGAGTGTAGCATGGCTCTGCAGAATAGCCCATGAACGCCGCCATGGCTAACTCCAGCTCTGATGGCCCTTCTGGTTGTGGGAGAAATTCTTCTTGATAAGGAGGTTGTTCTTGATATGCCCATGGGTCTGATTGTTCTCTGTAGTAAGGGAGTTGGTACTGGAACCCAAAACCATAGTCTACTCCTCCTTGATTGCTCCACGGAGTCGTGGGGTAATACCACTCGGACGGTGGTGGATACCCCCAATAGTTGGAGAAACCATGAGGATCCATGATTCAGATCTGCACCAACAAAAACAAAAACACCCAAGTGAAAAGCAAGGATGAAAAAGAAAAGAAAAACGCTAAAGTAACAAACTTCTGCCTTTCCTAATAATATAGAAAGTCCCCAGCAACAGCGCCAAAAACTTGACTCGCTATGACACAACTCCTAACAATGGCCAAGTGTAACCGATGAAAGGGACTGCAGTATAGTGGCTCAAGTAATAAATATCGAATCCACGGGTCTCTAGAGTTACTATTACTCAGCTTCAGTTTATTATCTAGCAAACCAGATTAAGATGGAAGAACTAAAACTACTCTAACAAACTACAGTTAAAGTTAGTCTAATTACAGGTTGGGAACTCACTTAGGTATGATTCCCCCTAGCCACTAGCCAGATTAATGATTGATGATTTCTAACTTGTTTCACTTTCATTCACAATGAGGAGAATCCTTAACTAGACCTTGAATCTTGACTAAAGGATCAAGGCCCTCTTGAGTCGTTTTCCTAGAGGGTGTATCCTTCTCTAGAACAATAGATCAATGCGCTCTGAACTAGACTCCCTCTATCAAATGGGGTTCTCAATCGGTACAAAGCAGTGAATGAACCCTCGACTAAAGCAATCGATCCACTACTATCAATCTATGGTGCTCTATTGACCTAATCAGGTATTCCCTCTCATAGGATCAAAGCAGAATCAATAATCTTGACTAAAGCAGAATTGAATCATGAAAACATGCATAGATTGAATATAAACTCAAGATTATCAAGTAGGACTACTCATACAATCATCCAATCAAACAAACATAGCTAGGGTTCCTCAAAACCTAAGTGAAGGGAAGTTACTCCATAGATAAGAGAGAGACTGCAGTAAGAATCTTCAGATGATCAGTCTTCAAGTCCGGGCTTGTTCCTCAAGCTTCCAAGGCGAAGAAATCCTACAATTCCACTCCAAGAATGCCCTCAGATCATCTTCTCTCTCTTTGGTTCGTCCCTTGGGTGTTTGGGATCCAATACCTAGCTCTCCCCTTTGCAGAAACACACAAAACAGGCTTTTAACACCCTGCGTTCGCGATCCCCGGTCATAATCCCCGGTCGAGTATTTCGGTTGCCCGACCGGGGATTTCGAAATGCAGCGCAGTGGTACAGGAGATAATACCCGATCAAGGTCAAGAATACTGGCGGGTATTTTTGCTCTCTGGCTGGGACCCCTTCTGCCTTCTGGGCGTCCAAAACTGCTTTTCCCCGGCCTCGCCTTGAATTTTACCCGGCCGGGTATTATTACTCATGGCCGGGTATTTTGCTCCTCCAGCACCCTTCTACTCCAACGTCCTCCTTTTGACCCGAAACTCGTTTCTTCGCCTTCACGTCAACGCCAAGTCCTGAAATATGACATAAACACACAACCTAGCGTGAAATCGGCTTAAAACACGATAATCGACTCTCAACTCGATCAAGAATGGAGGTATAAACATGTTTAATAATTGGCCTATCACTATCCATCGGCCAACCATTGATGCATGAGAACCTCCATGTACCAACTTCATCCTCCCATACTTTCGCGTCCACATGGCGAAAAGAGAGTGACATAATCTATATGTTTAGCCCCTCCTTCCACCATAAACTGATACCACTAGCACGTTCTTCATAGGAAAGGTATGTCGACCATCCCTCCCCCTGCTTGAAGCCCAATTCCAATTGTTTTACCTTATTTTCGTTTGCAGTTTGCTTAGTTTCCATTAAGAAAACAAGCTGTGGGGACTACTGTAGCGAAAGTGACTTCAAGGCCCTAACTGCACGCTTACTCCCCAGTCTGCGACAGTTGTAGGATAGGATCCTCATTTATGCACTTAAGCGGATAGGTTCTCCATACTATTTAACGTAGATGAATTGTTTACCTAGGGCATCCTACCATTACCATGCTTCACCCCGCTATTTACGTTCTCTACATAGTTTGCATGCTCAATTCCATCTTTAAACCATTGGCCTCCTCTACCATTTGATCCCATGTTGCCGTCATCCGTGACTTTGTGGCCAGAAGTGGGAGAAGTATGATGCTCTGTAGCTACCTTATTAGACTCAGAAGACTTATCACTCATTGTAGGCTTCTGGACATTTATATGTTTTTCTTTTTGCGGTACCTTCTGCTTGACCTTTTCCATGGGAATTTTACTAGTTTGGGTCTTTCTTTTTTGCAGCTTCGTCATGTACCACGTGGAATCGATTCTCCTGCCCACCGTGAAAGTTACCATCTGCTCGTCTACTATTCTGGGCTGCACGTTGATCATTCCTTCTTGGTCGCCTTCGCACAATCATCCATCCACCATAAATACACCCGTCGGCTGGGTCATCTTCTTGTGTTTCAGGCACAACCTCGGTGGCTGTGTTCATTAGGTTTTCCTCCATTTTACAGCACCAGAATTTGTCAGTAGGGCTCCCATACATCCTACAATCTCCGCATAGGTCGTCCAGTCCTTCATATTGAATGATATATGTGATCCAGTCCACCTTATACTTTGAGAGCAATGGCTTGGTTAGATCAAACTCAACAACTCGCGTATAGTTCCCTCTCACACCCAGCTATGTTGCTCTATCGACCCGGACCGGAGTGCCAAGTGATTCGGCTATCATGGTGAAGGCTTCAATATTAAACAATTCAATGAGTAGATCGGGGAGTTGAACCCAGACAATAGTAAATTTCATTGTTGTTTTCCATGGGTTAAAACCCTTGTACCACCAATGCACAGTCAGCTATGTATCTCCAAGCAACCACAGACCTCCTTCCGCCGCCAGTTAATAGTCTTTTGTATCTCTGAATCGGACTATGAAGCTTTCATTTTTCTTATATGAAATTTAGAGTTCTCCATGTCTATCCCACAGAAAATTCAATCTCTTCGCGATTGGGACGTAAGGCACATTCCGACCCAGTCTTTTCACGATCAGGGCTGACCGCCATTCGCAATGTCACTTGATTTTCTGACCCGTGGTGAATAGGGATGGAGGGCATCTCAAGTCATAATTATCCTCATCAACCGCATCCTCCTCCTCTCTCACGTTCCGCCACATCCTTAGAGTCGGAATCACCAACATACCAACCTCCCTCCTGGAGTACCTCACTGAAAATTCTAGGGTTCTCACTCTGCCATGCTCCTCGTGTGACACCCCCTGTAGTTGGGAATCTTCCGTATCCATCTCCTCGGCTATGGTCTCTTCCGAATTCTTTGTTTCTTCCTGTAAGTTCAGCAGTCGAACCTTTTTCTTTGACTGCATTGTTTCCCGGGCACTCTTACCGTCCGAAGATGAAGAGCCAATTGTCGCGCGCCTAGCCCTGCTCATATTATCTGAAGGCTTCTTCGTCGCTGCCGCCGAAGAGGACGGCGGTAGCACCGCCATCTAGAACAAACCCTAGAAGAGACTCGCTAGAATTCGCTCGCAGGAATTCTTTATGAAATAATCATAGCAAATTTTTTCACTCTTTCTACGAGGTTATTCATAAAGACAAATGAACTGATATAGTCAAGCTAATTTTAGCTTAATTATGTTCAATTAGACTAATTAAAGAATAATTGTTGATCAATTGAGGAAAATTGGGAATTCTAGGAAAAATTTATATCGTGTGTTACATTTGATATGATAGGTGCCTACTTCGTAATGATAGTTCTATTGTGACAAAATTATTTGTCACAAAGTTTCATTGCAAGAGCATCGTCGTACTAGATCTATTGTGGCATACAGTTACCTTTCCTCACAATAATTTATCACATATTGTGATGAACGTTCTCCTTCATAATAAATAGTTATTGCGACAACATTCTTTGTAACAATAAGGTGATATCTTTGTCACAAAAGATTTTATTTGCGGGTTCCTGTCTTGACAAACCTGTAGTTTGTAATGATATTGATTGTGACATGGTTTCTCATATTTGTATATTTTGTCACAGTTTTAACCAGTACTATGACAAAGTATATATGTCATAATTTGTGATATTTTGTTGTGACGAATGTTTTGCCCACATAGTGTCATTTTAAATTACGGTCCATCAAACAATATTATGAGAAAAAGAGTTTTTTTCCAGTAATTAAATGAAGAGTTTTTTTTCATTTGAGGTAACTCACTAGCTATTTGATATCAAGAACTGTTTTTCATTCATATGACAAAATAACCAATATCTTTTGTTCATAACATGGTAATCCTAACCAAACTCCATTATTCAAAACTTAGAAGAAGCCAAATTTATAGCTTAATCAACATTTAGATTCCTAATTTCTTGAGACGACTAATACATGCATGTTTCTGACATCATACAGTAGTCCACCAGGTTAATCAACTTATTGTGACAAAAATAGGTTTGTCCTTTGAGGTACCTCATTAGTTTGTAGTCATCAAACCCAATTTTCATTCATACCATATAATAGCTAATATCTGTTGGTACATAACATGATATTTCTAACAAAACTCCATTACCGAGACTTATAAGAAGCCAAAAACTATAACTTAAACATTTAGATTGCTAATAGTTCAGTACAACAAAAACATGCATATTCCTGGCATCATACAACAGTCCACCTTGTTAATCAACTAATTTTACCACCATCAGATGTATCTTCTCACCTCCACTTGTAGTGATCAACCATGACATTCACCTATTAGTACATCATCACATAGCAGTTTAGTTTGTTTTCATGCCCAGGTTCACATAACAAGTTGGTTTGAGATCTGAGTTTGAAACAAGCAGACCCCTTGTATAAACAACATCAACTAACACATACAATCATGAAATATATAATTAATATTCACCATGCAATATGTCAAGAGAATCAGGATATAACCTTTTCGAGTTGCTTTGTCCAATCATTTTGGAAACTAAATCAAGCACAATATCTTCAATTTGACAGGTTTGACCAAATTCGGGCTGAACGTTTACTGGGTCTGTGGCACCCGTTTTGATGAACGGGTCCGGACCAAACCATGCCGCCCGCGGGCCAACAACCTTGATGCTCACACTTTATATTTATACTCATAGTGAAATCTTTACAGTCGCGCGTCACGACCATGATGTGGGTAGTGAAACCGCATTACCTGCACAAAACACACCAATTCACTTACACATTTCACGGTTTCCTTGCATTCTTCACGTTCTTTGCCCGTGATGTGTGCATTGCTCATGAGATGTCCAAATGCTCATCGGAAGTTGCATTCTTCATGGTTTCCTTGTAATCTTCACGGTCTCCTGTCCATTATAATCTACCCTAAATTGTGATCCATGCAATTTCCAATACTTTGTCCCGTTTTCACTCCCTGTCGTCTGACTTTCGATCCTTTAGCCCATTTCACTTGCTAGAGCCTAAAACATACTATAATATAATAAAACATAGCATAAAATGTCTCCAATGACAAAGTTTTAAAGGTCAAATGGCAAAATCAAAGGGGTAAAACATGCATAGAATTAATCAATTCATCCATCGATGTCAACTAAACAGTTCTTTAGAACCCAGTTTGATGCAAACAGAATTATTCCAATCACCACTGATTTGAGGCTCAAGGATAACCAAGAAGTATGGCATATGAGTTGAACACGTAGTCTGGTAGCTCTAAGAAACTGGCTTTCTCCTGCACCACAGACATTCCAAAACAAAATCTTAAATTCCATTTGATAAATCATAGAAAAGGTATAGAGTAAGGAAAAGAGAAAGATAAGTAGCCAAATCATGATGAGTTCTCTAAATGGAGTCCTCACTCTGCAGTCAGAAACGATCCCTCTATATTACCCTAGGAAGGGGTTTCCATCATCACCACACCCTCCTCTTTCTGTAGCATCCACTTTAACGAATTCCTCTCCCTAAAGTTGTGACTGTGTGAGGAACTCTTCAATGTGGTTGTTAAATTTTTGTTCGTTGGCTTAGCTCCTACTTCAAAGAGTCATAAACTTGCAGTAGCTTCTTGAACCTTTGAGATTAACTCCTTTCTGTGCTGGCGAGCGATTCGGATTTTTCTTGGGGTTAATGGCTTCAAACTAATGAGTCCTCTCAATTAGGATTTTGATTTTCTTTGTGTTGTAGTTCGAGTGCCGACACTGGAACAATTTGGATCTTCGTGTTATTTGCGCCAAGGACCACTTGGGTCTATTGAATTTGGGTTTGATAGCTTGGGCCAGTGATAAATTTTGTGGTTGATGAGCTTGGCCCATTGTTTTATTTAGAGGTAGTTAGTTTAGTGTCTTCAGGCCCTATAGCTTGCCATTCTTGAACTAAAGGGGCTCTTTATCTCCGTTATAGTCATGATCAATGTAGTCAAAGACTACCTTCGATGTAAAAGTAAAATGATGGGTAAAAGTGGAAGCGCAAAATTAAAGAATAAAGCGTAAACTTTTAAACGTTCTATAAATTTCATAGTAATTTTCTAACCATAACTTTTATTTTGTAAAATATAAACAAATAAGTGAACTAGCTCATATATTAGAGATCACTCTTACACAAACTAAATAAATATAATTTTAAACAAGCATTCATCGTCTTCATCCTGCTTTTGAGAGAAAAAATGAGATGAGACAACCATCACTAAATGATGACGCTATAAGGATTGTAGGCAACCTTAACTAATAAGTGTGCCGAAAAATGGGAGGTTAAAGGAGACGGGTTTTGGCGATACCGTAGTCATAGTGTTGGGGTGGGTGTTGCAGGGACGAGAAAGGACTCTAGCAGCAGGAATCTGGATGCGGTGTGTGCTGTTTTTGGAGGCAAAGAAAAGACGAAAATGTAGAAGAAGTGGCGATTAATTGGGGATGAGAAATTTGTAGAAGAAATGACTGAAAGGATAACCTGACTAAAACACAAATAAACTGATAGAGAAATAATTACACATGTTTATACCCCTATTCTTCAGCCATTTGAGATGTTGATTCTCGTGTTTTAAGCCGATTTCACGCTAGGTTGTGCGTTTATGTCATATTTCAGGGCTTAGCGTTGGCATCGAGGCGAAGAAGCGAGTTTCGGGTCGAAAGGAGCACGTTTGGGTTGAAGTGTGCTGGAGGAGCAAAATACCCGACTATGAGCAAAAATACCTGGCCGGGTATTAATCTGAGCAGACCGAGCAAAATCACTTTTGGGCGTTTGAGAAGCAGAAGGGGGCCCGTGCATTGAGCATAAATCTCCGGTCGGGTATACTTGACCTTGACCGGGGATTAATTCCTTGTCCTCGACGGTGCATTTCAACATTCCCCGGTCGCCACCCAAAATACCCGACCGGGGATTATGATAGGGGATCGCGAACGCATGCTGTTAAAAGCCT